GGGGAAAGAATTATAAAGGCAAATAAGACTTCCTCCAAGACCCTGGACAGCTCTCCACACTTATGGATGACTATACGATGAGGCAGAATAAAAGACGTTAACATCAGAGATATAGGCAAGAATGTTGTGGGTCTTTAAGGAACTAATTCAGGCTATCTGGAAGGCTTCCTGGAGGAAAGGGACAGTAGAGATGAGCCTTAAAGTACATTTCAGCAGAGAAAAGAGAGAAACTTATTTTCATTTCTCCAAGATGATCTTGTGAAATGAGCTCTAAATAGGTGCTACAGGTTTGGTATTCTAATCCCAGTCCTGACCTTGATCAACTGGAAGAGCTCATGCGTTATCATTTCCTTTTCTGAATCTCCACTGCCTCATCTGTAAAATGGGGTGTTAGATTAGATGAATTTGAAAGCAGCCAGTCTCTTTTTTATCACAAACAGGCAGGAAGCAAAATCAGGCTCTCCTCGAAGAAGTGCATAAACTGTAGACTCAGAGAATTATCTCAGAAAAAAAAAGGCCTGGGGGATTTTGTGTCCTGTGTGTCCCCATGGCTGCAGCCTAAGCAGGCCAACTCTCATCAAGTGCTTGTCTTGGTCACTGCTCCCTACCTGGGACACAATACTGTGTCTGGCCCAATAAATGTTTATTGGATGAAGTGAATAAACGAAGTGACAGAGACTATGACCAGATTTTTGGGTAGAACTGCTCTCAGATCATCAGATCTATTGGAGCTTTTGCTCCTTAATACCCTATGTTTGCTCTCAGGATAAGAGGAAGGGTGGCTGAGAGGAACTGTCCTTTCAGAGGTCCAAGCTGGGGCCTCTGGTTTCTGCTGCAATCAATGGAAAGTAGGTCACAGAACTGCTCTGCAGAGCTCAGACCCTTGAGGAAAAGCCTGAATTCTGTGCCAGCTTGTATTTATTGAGTGTCTACTGTGTATTAGTTGTCACGTAGCTTTAATTCATTTAACTGTGGCCTCAAAGGACTATACAGAAGAATATAGGGGATTGGGAGCTGTAAACCCCAGCCACTGACTGAGCGACTTCAGCCAGGTCACTGCACCTCTCTGAGTGCTCCTTTTCAATCTCTGTAAAATGGAAACCATAAAGCCACTTCCCCAGGTTATGGGAATGAAATGAGCCCGTGGAAGAGGAGCGCTTCATAAATGCTAGTTATTATTGTTCCACTGGGCACACAAATCCGCTCGCCTCCTCCCAGTGTGAGCACATAGACATGTTCACACTCCCACATACATGCAAATGCACAAGGACGCGTGCAGACTCCAGCAAGAGGGGCTCGCCAAGCCTCAGACCCGGGGCTACTGCTGAGGCTCGCGGAGAAGCCATCGGGTCCTCGGGTTCCCTCCTTTTCTCTCAGCGCTTTCTGAATGAACTCCGGCCGCGAGTTTATTTTTTTATGAATGGGAGCCCAAGCAGTGAATGAAGCCGGGAGCCAACCCCTGCGTTCTGATTGGCCCGCGTGGCTGGGAAACTCCGCCCCCTGGCTTGGCCAAGCGAGTCTCCGGATTGGCAGGCGTGCCCGGCCCCGGGGTTTCATTCACAAAAGTCAATGAAACAAAGGGAACCGGGTGGAGGAGTGGTGGGGGGGAGAGAGAGCGGAGGCCGAGGGGAAGGAAATGCACCAATCAGAGGCTCCCCCGGGCTCACAACTGTCGGCGGCGCCAGGAAAACAAGCTGGTGCGCTGGGGACCCGGGGCCGGGGCCGCCTCGCTCCGGCCTAGCCCCGTGGCCCTTACTGCAGCCCCGGGGCATGCTCGGGACACCTCGCGGCTCGAGCACTGAAGCCCCGGCCTCAGGTGAGGCTGCGGGAGGGGGAGGGAGGGAGAATGTCCGTGATTCCCCGCCTCGCCTCCAATACGCCCCACACTTTCTCACCGCCGCTAACGCAGATTCCAGGGCGAGGGGTGGGAGGTGCTGGAATTCAGGGTTGGAGGGGGCGCTGGAGTCGTGGGCGTGCGAATGGTGCGCGCCCACACTGATATATGTAAATTAGTCACTTTTCTCTCAATAAATATATTTGTTGAATGAATATATTAATGAGTGGTTAGGTCTATATTCAAAGATGTGTAGGAAACACACACACACACACACACACACACACGTCTTATGTAACCGAGCCTGGGTAGAGCAAGGCAGCAGAAAGCACCCGAAACGGCGAGCCAGGCTCCCAGGAGCAGGTGGGACCTCCTTTGGCGGGAGGGGAGTGGTGGCGGAGCTCAACTCGGCAGGCGGAAACCCACCCCCCACCATCGCCTGAGTGAGTCGGAGAAGTTTTGCCATTGGACCCAAAGCCTGGGGACGGTCTCCTCCCTGCTGCCCTTACCCACCCCCAACCCCGCTGCCTTCCTAGGACGGTGTGCGAACGCAGACCCCCGCCCTCCTAGGTCTCTGCCCCCGCGCGAGGCCCGGGCGGTGCGGCCGGAGGGAGCGGCCGGATGGAGCGGAGGATGAAAGGCGGATACTTGGACCAGCAAGTGCCCTACACCTTCTGCAGCGTGAGCGCCGCGCTGGCCTCAACGCCCGCCCCCGCCTGCACCCCGCCCCTACCCGCCACACAACCCCTTCCCCGAGGCTCCAGTGGGGTTCAGAATTTGCCGGCCCGAGTCACCCCGGGACCCCAGTCCCATCCCCCAGACCAGCCGGCTTCGGGGTAACTACGAGCATTCTTCCCATTTCCCCGCAGAAATCGCCCGGAAATGGGAGCTTGCGCGAAGCGCTGATTGTCCCGCAGGGGAAGCTCATGGACCCCGGCTCCCTGCCGACCCCCGACTCCGAAGGTAAAGAGCCGGAGAGACAAACCGCGACCCTCCCAACCACACACGCCCCGAACGCCGACCCTGGAACCCCTGCCCTTTTCCCAAAAAGACTCTCCTTCCTGGGGACTCTGATCATTTTCAGCCCCTCCCCCCCGCAAGGTGGGTCACTGGGCTCGCTGGGGCTCCCTCTCACCACCACCTCCACCTCAGCCTCCAATTCCTTTATTCACCCCTCAGATCTCTTCCAGGATCTAAGTCATTTCCAGGAGACGTGGCTCGCTGAAGGTGAGTAGTTTCCCGACCTTTTCCATTACTGGGGTAGGGGACGTTCTCTACCCCTGGTATTCCAGCCTAGCCCACTTCCTCTCTCCCTGGCTTCAAGAAGCTCTCCAAGGCTTCCTCCCCAAGTCCCCTGCCTCTCTGCTCTCCCCAGAGCCTAGTGTGGACACTTATATTGATATTTATTTTCTCTTCCCCGAGCCAGGCTTGTGTAACTAGGCCTGTGGATGAATCAGACCATTGTGTGGGGTATTTGCTTATTTGAATGGAACTTGGCCCCAAGCCCATTTTCCTGGTTGAAATTTTCATTTGCAAAGTTTGTTTGGCAGCAGCCACCTGGCCGAGGTGTGTGTTGGGGTGTTGGGGAGGGAGAGTGAGGAACTAGAGGATGTGAAGGAGCAATTAATTTGTTACCTGTCTTCAGGAGTTGCCAGAACATTGATTTTCATCTCCTTGGTTTCTCTTCTTCCCAACTCCCAGTGGCAAACAATTTACTGTCTGAACCAAAAGAACAACAAAAGTTTAAATAATTCTTTTTTGCTGCCTTTTGGCAGAGAGGGCTTAGGGCTCCTCCTCCTCACCCCTAAATACCCTTGATTGTGATTCTGATGGCAATTGGTCTTCACTCCTCCTTTTCTCCTGAATTCCTCTACCTCAGGCAAATCCCCCCTCTTGTTTGCCGGGGGTAAGCTCTAGCTGCTAGCTGGCTGGGGTGCTGGGTCAGTAGCTGGGCCTTGGCTCTGTGGGGAAGTGTGTTCTGGGGTTCTTCTGGTTGGATTCATTGGTGTGTTTTGGTGGAGCCTGAGGGTGTCGCTGGTGGGGCTGCAGGTAGGAGGCAAATGGTGCTCAGACAGTCTCTGGGAGGGAAGGGTTAACACCCCCATCTCAGAGTCCCTTTATTTTAACGCTCTGAAAACCAAGAAACCACAACACTAGGAACACCTTCTCTTCTTCAGAATCTTCCTAGCCCACCATCTGGGTATCCCTGGTGATTTTTTTAAACTCTAACCCAGCTCTTCTGGAACCCGCTATAAATGCTTGGGGTGGAAGGGAAAGACCCCTGGAGTGAGACAAGATCTGTCTTGACCACTGTGGTATCCCCAAAATATATATGTTAACAGAACGCTATTTGCATAGAGCAAGTGCTTGAGACATTTTGTAGAATCCATGGCCGACCGGCTGCATGAGTGTTAGAGGATCTGAGGTTTCTGCGGGTGTTGTGATTCTGCAAGCCCTGGGTGCCCAGCTCCAAATTTCAGGCAGAGCTATGCCCATTCTGCCCATCCTCCCGAGGTTCCGGAGCTGGGCTAAAGCTGAAGAACGCAGAGGTGTCAGTTTCCACGGTCTCTCAAAGACTTCCTTTCCCAATGCCTGATTTATGTCTGGCTCCCCAGGGTCCTGGTCTGTCAGCTGAGGGTCCCTGTGCTCACCACAGGGGCAGCTCCCAGGGTTGTGATCTAGGGGTAGGCTCAGAGGTTGGCATTTTGGCAGCAGATGGTCCATTCGTGCCCGGGTTTGGAACGGAAAGGGGAGGAAAATGTTCTAATCTCCTCTCAACCTTGGAAGCCCCACCCCTTGGCGGTGGGGGTCTAGAGACTGTATGGGTGTCTATCTGCATGTGTCAGTGTGACAGCAAGTGAGTGTGTGTTTCATGCTGCTGCCCCAGGAGTCTCTGTACATTTAAATCCAGTGGGTGGGGAGGTGGGGGTGGGGATCGAAAGGCGGAGGAGGGGGGGCACCGGGATCTCCTTGGTTCCCTCTCCTTCCTTCTGAGGGAGCAGCTCAGGTTCCCAGCTGGCGATGGATGGCCAGGCCTGAGGGGGGGATGCTGAGGCCGCTCGCTCCTTCTCACTCTCTCTGCGGAGACAGATGCAGCTGCCGGGGCCCTGTCCCCCTGCACCATCCCAGCACCACCCCAGCCTCCTCTCCTGCCTCTTCCCACAAGGTCAGTGACCCCTGCAGCCCAGAGGGAGCTTTGGGGTGGCAGGGAGGGGCTAGCTCCTTTGGAAACTTGCCGGTGGTGGGTTGCACGTCAGTCAGAATGGGCGCCAGAGACCAACCGCCCTCCCTCAGCTTGATTTCTTCCTAAAGCCTCAATTTGGAAAGAAGCAGCAGGTCCCTGTAGTGTGGGTGGGACTGTGAAGAATTCAGGGGATGCCCAAGTTGGATCCGGCTGATGTGGTTGTGAGTTCAGAGCCCGGTGTCCGGGCAGCATTGGGGGTGAGTGTGAGTAGGGCTCTGTAGAGGCAGCTCAGACATCTTAGGAGTTGGTGGTTTTCTAGGCAGAGTGGGGTGGGGGGGTGAAGTGAGGCTAAGAGGGCATGTCTGATTTTGGGGTGCCTGGGATCTGTTGAGTTGCTGGAGAAAGGATCGGGCTGCTGT